CCAGAGGGGCCCTTACACTTTGGGCCCCTGGGCCTGTGCCTGGTCGGCCGGCACAGTGATCCATCCATGGCAAAGCCTGGTGATAATTCTCTGTGAGTTCATCATTGATTAAAGCATTAATCTCCTTCTGAGACAAAAGCGTTTAGTTTCACCCTCAGCTGACACAGTTTTTATAGATTGTTCACACAAAGCGCTCTCAGAAACACTGGCTCCTACTTCAAAGGGCCGTAATTCAGGTGTAAATGCTACTGTGGAAATGGAGGCTTGTGGTGCTCTAACCCTGTGAGAGACGCCAGCTGCTGAGCTGTTACTCAGACGGCTGAAAGGCCCGACTGACACATGAGGAGCTGCAGTTCAGGGACCTTAAATACAGTCGGTACAAGGTTTGTTTTACATTCCCCTCTTGGGTAAGTACAGGAGGGTATTGGGTTCTTCTCCTCGCCTTTCAGACAACACAAGGTCGCAGCGAGCTTTGTATGCGAGCACCCTGCAATGTCTCGAAACCAGACGGATGATGTCATGCTGCAGGGGGTGAGGGACGGTCTCTGGAAAACTGTTGGGTCTCGTCCAGCTGGAGAAGCATCATACCCAGATTTGACCCATTTCAAACCGGCAGGAGTTTCTCTGCTCAAAATCCTGTGAAAACATTCACTGTTAAAACCTGGAAACTGGGAAGGAAATTAAATGATTGTCCATTACCTTTCTGACTGTGTGTGTCTAATGCCAGAGTAAATCTCAGGCCTTTTTAACCTGGTAAATTATGTACAAATACATTTCCACCTCCTCTCTATGTCAGTGGGAAGCAGCTAAATCACTGAGTAAATTTACTTTCTGGCTGCACTGCCCGACCTTCTCCCTTCCTGCAGATTTTCATATCATCCAGACGGAGTTTTCCAAAATGTTTAATGAAAAGGGCGTCACTTCTTAGTCAGACAAACTGCACTTGCTATACCATCCGTCATTCTGTCTGCACAGTCACCAGTGATGGATCTATTTTATATCGCTGCTTAACATTTCTCCCCTTATTGATGTGGGATAAAAGAAATATTAACTATGTGACAGAAGTGATGTTCATGCAGCCACAGCTGAATGTAAACGTCTGATCCTACAAGTCACTTATGACTCTAAAGATGTTTGATTAATCTCTTCATTCTTTTAATAATAAAAATGATGCAGTAATATAAGACAGAATAAAGAAGCATTTCATGTTAACGCTCTGTTGCAGACAGTGAAGTAGAGTCCTCCAGGTGAGTGGAAAAGCAAACCGGTCAAGTTCAAAGACTTTAAACAAGACTCAGCCTTGAGTTTTAAGTGACTCTTAGGTGTTGTTGACCTTTTGCACGCCAAAGGCCCTCACAGCCTCTTTGATGGAGCTCTGTGCAGTTTAGACACAAAGTGACAAAGTCTGACGGCGCTCTGCTGAGCCTGTGTGGAGGTATGCTGCAAACCTTTGAAGGGTTGACTTCACAGAGCTCACCTGAGCCATCAGGTGACACAGAAAGCCCTCAGAGCCATACTTTGTTCATTCAGGTGGATTCCACTTGTTTCCTTATTGAAGAATTTATCAGTGTTTTGTCCAAAGAATAAATAATAACAACTCAGTGTAGAGGTCCATGGTGCAGGCAGGAAGTCCGAAAATGCATCCGAGGCATGTGGTGGTTAAAAGTCCTGTAAAGCAATGCATTTCAAGTCTTCATCAGGGTGTAGAATTGTTTAATTTTCTTCTTGATGAAGACCCTCTATTAATAAAGGATTCTTAAATACAGTTGGAGAGCGTCGGATGCATTTTATAACTTTATAACATTTTTTATAACTAACTAGTCCATACCCATTGGTAGCTTTGTCACCTTCTACCTGTGCCAATCCTTAATGCCTATGTGCAGTTTCACATAGATTGACCACGTCAGTGAGTAGAAAAACGTGGGACAGACAGAATGACTGACTGACAGAATGACACACTGACAGTTTCTGTGATTATGTACAGCATACCATACCATGACTTAAGGCCCGTTTCCACCGCAGGAACTTCAGGGTAAATTTACAGGGCCGGGGCCGTTGGTGCGTGTCTCCACCGCAGGAACCACCCCGAAGGACAGAGTTCTGGAACTTTTACGGGGGCTAAACAAGTCCCTGCCTTGGAGTAGGTACTCAGAACGGCCCGAGAAACTCCTGGCTGGGGCTTGGGGATTACTTGGTGCTGATTGGATATACTCAAGGCAGAATGTGACGTCAACAGAAAGCAACAAAATAGCCGGCATTTTTAAAACTCAGCAGACGAGGGTTAGCTCGTTCATAGCTTCCACCGCCATGTAAACAAACTCAATAACCAGTCCGTGAAAAACATATTTTTTCCGGCGGATATCTTAGTTACAACATAATTGAGCTAGCAAAGCAGTTTTGTGTTGCTATGTGTGGTATTTATTCAGTTTTGGGAAATCACAAGAAAGCATCAGCTGACAGGGACAGCTAACAGCAGCAGCAAAGCTAACATCAGGACGTCATCTGTTAAAAGCCTCCCTTTGTCTGATACTACATTAAATTACTCCAGTTAGCTCAATCATGTTGTAACTAAGACATCCGCTGGAAAAAATATTTTTTTCACGGGCCACTTTGTGAGTTTAGTGAGTTATTACAGACACCGCTATCGGCTAACAGCTAACATGGTTGCGCAACGATTACATCACATCCAGAGCCCGGTAACTTTACAGGAACCTTCCTCCTACTCCGCTCTCTCAGTGGAGACATGGTGGTTGAGAGGGCCGAGTGAGAGGACGTTCCTGTAGTAGTTCCTGCCCCCCAGATAGTACCAGGAACTTCTTCAGCGGACACGGGCCTTTAGTCATACCAAAAATTAGAAAAAAAACCAACACTGGTCCACAGGGGGAGCCACAGCGATCGGTCGCATTTTAGCCATTTTGAAGCATTTTTCTGTTGTTATAGCGCCACCCAGTTGCCAGTTAGAGTTAAATTTCTCCAGTCACCTTGAGGCGTCCTGTTCTACATATCTACCAAGTTTAGTAAAAATCCATATGGCGCTTAGGCCTAGATAAGAAATTAGCTCTCTAGCGCCCCCATTTTGTTTGATGGGGTCAATAATGGAGGGGTCCCCTCAGATTATGTGTGGTCATATGCCTACAAAGTTGCGTGGTGATGGGTGAAACCCTTGAGATGTTATACACCTTTATGTGATGAGCCACGCCCTCCGCAATATTCATTGCCTTATAGAAGCTCAGTTTTAGTAAGTTTTCCAACTTTTGCCAAGAGGGAACTTTAGATATTGGTCCCTAGATTATGTTCACCCAGTTTCATGCAGATCACTCAAACTTCCTAGGAAGAGATCAATTTGAAGTGTTTTTCAAAAAATTCAAAATGGTGGAAAATCTATATAAGCAGAAGTTATGGGTTCTTGAGGCAAATGTGTTCCTCATGAGGAGAGGCATCTCTGTGCAAAGTTTCATGTCTCTACGACATACGGGGCATGAGATATGCCCATTCAAAGTTTGCAATTTCAATTGGTTGCTATAGCGCCCCCCTTTGGCCAATTGATGTAATATTGCTTCATTGGCATCCTCCCATGACCCTCTACCACTGTGCCAAATTTCACATGGATTGACCAAGTCAGTGAGGAGAAAAACGTGGAACAGACACACAGACAGAGTTTTCCTCATTATATAGTAAGAAGAAGACTACATACTGCTGCAACCCAGTGCAGCACTCACTACTTTCTCCTCACTATCAGATCTTTGAATAAGTTTCATGTGATCAGTGGGAGCTCCATCAGCAGCCGCTGACAGGCTAATACTCCGCTGCAGGTCTGAGACATTTCAGCTGAGCTATGAGCACGGATAGGTCACTGAACGGGCCTAACAAGCAAGTGTCAGGGGGCCCTAAACCTTCACCTACAAAATGTCAAATGTCAAATGTCAAATTAACATATACCGACCAGAAAGAGACTCAAAGTGACAACAAAGAGATGCAAAGGCACCGCAGAGAGACACAAAATAACTACAAAAACAGGCACATAGAAACACAACTCGAACACAAGGAGGCACACAATGATTACAAAGTGATACGAAGCAACCAAAAAGGCAAAAATAATTACCTTACAGAGACATTTATTTACATAAATAAGACACAAAACTACCCCAGAGACCAAAACTACTACAAAAAAGCATAAAACAACCACAAGACACAAAATTACTTCAAAGAGACATAAAACAAGCACAAAGTCTGTGTGTCTTGCTCCTATGTAGAAGAGGTGGCGGGGTCCTTTGCATATCTGTGCCCAGGGGACCACTGTCTCAAAATCTGCCCGTGGATATGCATCCCTTTTGTTAGGAAAGCTGTAAAATGTTTTTACTCTTCATCATAAAATAAGAACCAAACGTGTTGCTGAGAGATTTTGTCCAGTTCGGACTGTTTTCCTCCTCTGAGACATGTACAGGTGTGTGTGTGTGATGAATGTGTGTGTGGTGTCATCTATTGGCTCCAAACAAATACTAAATATTTCAAACACTGTGATGCAAAACAAATGCAGCAGTGCCCTCTTGGAAGCCACTATGGCAGATAAAAGATAAAGTGCCCTTCCATTGGATAAAACATGATGCAGTGCCATGTACGCTGCCCTTCAGGCTAGAAAACCTTTACGATAAGCAGAGGATGAATGCTAATGACTTTGCTGAGCACTATATTGAGTGAAATGTCTCGACAACTATTTGATGGATGACCATTAAATGTGAATACATCATTGTTCCCCTCAGGATGAATTATAATAACTGTGGTGTAGCACCATCATCAGGTCAAAATTTTAATTAATCCAACATTATAGTTTATGACCAAATTGTCACAAAGTCTGCTTCTCTCTTCCTCTCTCCAGCCTCCTCCTCAGGTCCCTGCATTGCCATTCTCCATCCATCCACCAGATGCCCTCAGACTCTCCCACCTGTCCCGATCACATGACTTCCCCACCCACCTGCTCACCTGTTTCCACTTTCCCTCGTCAGCCCTGCTGTAAACAACTGCGCCATTTTCACTCATTGCTTTGTGCCTTCCTGTCCAGCCTCCTGTACCTGCTGCCTGTGAGCTCACACACCTTCATCCTAACAATAAATCCCTGAACTGATCCTGTCTGCCCAGTTTGGGTCCTGTCTCTTGTTGCCTCACACTCACCTGACAGCCTGACAGCTATTTACATCAGGGAGGCGCCTGATTCCTAATCCTAATTGCATTTTTGTGGTTTATTTATAGCATATATTAACATACTTTTTGGCTTTTCTTTGTAGTAATCTTGGTTTGTGTTTTATATTGCTTGTTTTAGAGCTGTATATTTTTTATTTTGTATTTTTGTTCTATGTAGTGTGTCTGTAGCTTATGTTGCGACCTGTCTTTCCTTACTTTGGTTGCTAAGGTCCTCTGTGCAACAGTTTAACAAACTTTCAGCAAGTCTTTAAGTATAGGACCAAGATAAGGAGAAAAATCCAAATACTTGAGGATGTTTTGTACAACAAAGTCAGATCACACTTATGTTTGCTTCTATTTCATAACAGGTGAGAATAATAAATAAATCTCACACTAATAAGTCATGTAATGGTTTAGTAACGATACTCCGAGCCTGTGTGTTTGGTTTTGCATTTTGCCAGTTATTATAGGCCCAGGCTTGGCCAGTTTAAAGTACTTTACTCATTTTTTAAACTAGTGTGATGGTAGTAGTATCATAACACATACCCAAAGGCATGATTCAAGGCCGATCAGGGCGAATTTTCTCACATATCTCATCTTGAATCACCAGAAATGGCTTCAAAATAATAGAATGCCACATTGGCCTCAGTATTTTTGAATTAAATTGTAACTAAAGGTTATGAAATTAAGCACAGAGAGTAGTTGAGCTCATACTTGATTTCAGGGAACTGCTAAATTTGGCACATGTTCTACACAGTCACATCACGCTTCTTGAACTACTTTTTTCCCGATCAGAGCAAACTGTTATTAACATTTGTGTAACAGACATATCATTCACTAACACAGATTTTACTCATGTTCTTAGAATATTCTTACTACTACTCTAGCTACACAATATGTCCAGTTTCTAGAGACATAAATTCTTTTTACTTAATTCATCATGTGTTTTTTTTTTTTAGTTCCTGAACCAACTTTACAATGTGGTGTGGCGAACAGCAATGTGACAAGATGACAGTGAAGAATGTGAGTAAACAATTAAGTGGTCTCTTGTTACATTCACATTCATGTCTGTGTTTGAAACAAGTGACAACCTCCAGGGCTGACGAGTGGAGCCACTGCAGTAGTGCCAAAAACAGCAGTTCATCAACTGGCCACTTGAGGCTGGTTGCAAAATTTTTTTATGATGATCCTCAAATGTTATTAAGGCTTAAAGTTCTGCATAATTAAGGGCATGGCCACTTTGGCAGGCTGTCTGCTCAGCCTCACCACAGACCTCTCAACTTGACCTCCTGACTGTGTTTTAAGGTGTTGCCTGTCAGCCTGTCAGAGATTTTTTTTGTACAAATATTGGATAAATAATGAAGCTTGCTGTGCAGATCATTTTATCAACTGACAAGACACCAGTACTCCAGTTTTTCGGTGAATGAAATTCTATTATCATTTTATTCATATGTTAGCGCTAATTAGCATGTTTCTTTGCTTTTCTGGCTTGTTAGTTCGTTGTCTCGCTATCTAGCCACCAACCGGCATGCACCAAAGTCCAAACGTAATACAGAAGTGTTAGAATTTAGGGTGGTAATACTTTTCAACAAAGGGTGTCTGTGTGAGGCTGGAAGACAAAGCTTCACCGTGTTGATGTTAGTTAGCCACAGTAATGCTATGTAATTCAAACCCTTACAGTGTATTATCGGTTTATAATCTGGTGTTCATGATTGTGACGTCTGGGAAAGTATTGCATCTTTTATATTTGAGGTTTGAAACCATGTTGAACCAACACAGTTTACGTTCCTTGTCCAAACTGTGAGCAAGAAAAGTCAAAGAGTTCATTTCATTCTGTGCACACAGAGCTTTTCGTAGATTGAGATTTCTCACACTAGATGACATTTCTAATTATCTCACACACATTGCAGAAGTTTGGGTGGGCACGGGTGGGTAAAGAAAATACTGTAATTTACAGGCAGTGGCTTGAATTGCAGTGGGTTTCCAAAAGGTGCCAGTCACATGATAGTAACTAAAAAAACTAATTTTACAATGGTATCAGATTGCTTTTGAGATTTTATTTCATGTTCCAGTTGTTCTCTCTGTGTCTGAGCTCTGGTCCCAGTGATCTCTTTGACCCCAGACTGCAGAGCCAGGTGGCGGTGGTGGTGGTGGTGCAGTGTACCTTGGCAGTGTCCTCCGCCTCTTGTTAGAGCATATTACACATGGCAGGGGATCTGGGGCCTTTCCTGGAACCAACAACAGCTGGAGATGAATCCTGGCTCTGCTGCCACTGTTCTCCATTTTTGTTTAATCTGTGTTCTGCTCGGTCTTTCCCCAAGGCGTGCTTATTTAAGCTTTTTATTGTGTTTTATCAAAACAGCATCAGGAAAGGCAGGAGGGATGCCAAAACATGTGCTCCAGTAAGGCAGCCTCAAGCTCTTAAATAAAGGGCTTAGATACTAATATTGATTTAGAAAGAATGAATTGAGAAAAACTTTATTTAAAGGTACAGTGTGTAGAATTTAGGGGGGGTGTATTGGCAGAATTGGGATATAAATATGTTTTCTGTAGTGTGTGATCATCTGAAAATAAGAATTGGTGTGTTTTTGTTACCTTAGACTGAGCCGTTTATATCTATGTAGAGCAGGTAGTCGTCCATTATTCAGTGATTTTACCAGTTTAAATCATTGTCCATTTGTTTTGGATAATTTGGCTCCAGGTAAAAAACCTCCGGGATGCAGACATCGAAGGCCGAGAGTGAAGAGCGAAAAAGTGCCACACATCATCCCTTTTTTCGTCATCATTTTTCCCATTGTCCAATCGGATGATTTGAGAGGCGGGCCTTCTGTGGTGGTCACGACAACAAGTTTACAGTTGTTAAACATTGGAGGAGAAACTGGTGGTAGCGGCTGCTGGATACCCAGAGCTTTACGGCCCGACGCTAGCCAGCAGGTTGTCAAACTGCCCCTGAGTCACCCTAAAATATGCCTGGAAACATCCATCATGGAGGAGAAGCTCCTGGACCAACTGGTGGTACTCCCCATGATCCAGCCTCTTTTTTAGGGTCTCATGTACCCACACAGATCTCCGTTTATCTGCTGACAGACTCTCACCTTCAACCAGAGCTACAGACAGTACCCTCTGCCTCAACATTTTAGGAACTAGATACTGATTACTGTGAAAAAACAAACAATCAAACAAAAAACGGTTGATTGATTACACAAGAAGGTTAGGGTAAGAAGGTGTTGGGATGGTTGCCTGGCAACAATTAAAAGGCATTCAATTAAAAAGGCAGTACAGTGTGCCTCGCATTTTGCAACCTGCAATTTAAGTATACATGCAGGATACTTCTGGGGTCATACATATGTATACCTTCTAATTTAAATGTTTGTATATGTGTTTTATAGGAAATGTTAAAAATACTGCACATTTTAGACAATTAAATTTTCCTTTCATCTCCATTATACACATCATGATGTAATGTGTCATAACTAACTTATTATATATGTTTACACAGTGCTTATAAATGATAAAGTTAGGGTGTTAAAGTGTTCAGCATTTCTTTCATGAAACAAATCAGACTTGAATTTAAACTTCTGAACAACGGCCAGTAAAATATGTCATGATTTCAGCTCTGAAAGATAATTTCCTGTGGTTGTGATTTTCTCTCAGTGGAGAGAAACTAAAAAAGAGACAGACTGTAAGTCTATAAAAAAGGAAGAAGAAAAAGAAGAGGACACATACAGGAGGGTTTTGTGTTGGTCCAGTAAAAACTCTCTGCCACACATACTTTGGCTTGTTTGCAAAGGCTCGTGTTGGAGCGAGGATCTCCCCGTCTCTCTCTGCTCTGTGAAAGGATCCACTGATGAAGGTATGACACTCAGCTCTTTTCTTCTTTGTGTAACAGATGTGCTCACTGATGATTGTTTGACTATACATGTTGAATGTTTTTCCATAAGGTTATGACCACATGCTGAATTCTCCTCATTATGTTTGTATTTATAAGGGTTCATTTGCAAAAACAGATACATCAGTTTTTAGTCATTCTCATGAATCATGTCTTTTGTGCACTCCAGGGAACATCAGTTAATCTGGTGTTAGTTTATTCATTTTAAAAGTTATCAACAATATGTGGATATTTTGTTAATGTTAATGAGAGCATAACATAACTATGTATCCATGTTTTTGATTCATAGATAGGTAGATAGACAGAAGGACAGACAGAAGGACAGGTAGGTAGGTAGGTGGATGGATGAATGGATGGATGGTTGGACAGACAGAAGGACAGATAGAAGGACACATCGGTAGGTGGATGGATGGATAGATGATAGATAGACAGATATACAGAAGGACAGACAGATGAACAGGTAGGTAGGTGGGTGGATGGATAGATGGATGGATAGATGATAGATGATAGACGGACGGATGGACGGACGGACGGATGGATGGATATATAGATGGATGATGGATGGATGGATGGATAGATGGATGGATGGATATATAGATGGATGATAGATGGATGGATGGATGGATATATAGATGGATGGATAGATGGATGGATGGATATATAGATGATAGACAAACAGGGATGGATGGATGGATGGATATATACATGATAGACAAACAGGGATGGATGGATAGATGGATAGATGGATAGATGATAGACAAACAGGGATGGATGGATAGATAGATAAGAAGGATAGATAAATGATAGATAGTTAGAGAAAGGTAGAAGGATAGATACATGATAGATGGGTATGTCATGTTGAAGTATCTGATGAGTATAGTATGAGTAGAGAGTTACAGTGCCAGAAAAGAGTCAGATATGTTTGATTATTTAACAGGTTCAAATCAAGAAGACTGTAGTTGTAGAAAGAATACATGTATGAATCCCTAAATAAGTATAATTGATAGTCATTTTTTATTCCTTAAAGTATCCTAACTGATGGACCCCTGAGCTTCTCTTACCTTTACGATATGTTTTAGCATTTTTCTGCTCATTGTTTTGGTTTTATGGACCAAAACTGTTTTGGTTCTCTCCCAGCACTAGTCTCCTCAGACCTGACGGACTGATTCACTAAAGTAAACTATCAGAGGATCCACATCTTCTAAAATATAGGGTGAAATATCCTTAAAAAACATAATTCATGCAGAAGAGAGTTTAAGGAAATTCAATTGGTTAGAACATCAGGTGTTATGTGACTTTTAAAATATGTTTTTAGTGCAAAAGGACAACAGGTGTTATGTGACTTTACTGACATGTTGTTTTATCAGCAGGTGAAGTGTAATAATTTCATACTCAAACTTTTTCATTCTTTTTGAATGAATAAAATTAATCAGCCACCTGTTTTAATATTTGTCATCTAAAATGAGCTGAAATCAGCAAAAACTGTGTGTAATCATCAAACTCCCCACTACTGTGAGACTCTTTCAACACCAGTGTGATAATGATGTAAACTCGTCTCCTCCTCAGAGTCGTGCAGGGAGGCGGTGCAGCTGCAGCCTCCTCCCCCTCCTCCTCCTCCTCCACAGGCCTCAGATGGCTGCTGCCTGTGTTCAGCTCCTGTTGGCTGCCACCGTGTGGATGATGCCTCACATGGAAGCTGCTGCTGCAGCCGTGTTGTCGAGCTCCACAGAGCTGCTCAACATGACCGGAGCTGGAGCTGAGATAGACTTCAGGATGCTCAGTGGAGACGTCAGCAGACATAAACGAGCCATTTCATCCAGAGAGATCAACGCTCTGCTGGATTATCACAACCGAGTCCGCTCTCAGGTTTTCCCCCCCGCAGCTAATATGGAGTTCATGGTGAGGAAACACTGAGTCAGACTAGGGGCCACTGGTAAAATGTAACTAAGTACATTTACTCTACTACTTCAACTCTGCTGCATTTTTGAGACAGTTAGTTTAGTTACTTTGCAGATTGAAATTAATAATTGAAAATATAAATCAACTAATAAATGACATACAGCCAAGTTGAAGTTAAAAAGGGACAAAACTGAAACAACACATTCTTGCTTATTCTGTGGTACAAAAAATTTAAAAGACAGTGAGTAGCAGTTGCATGTTTTAGTCCAGTGGTTTTCAATTGGTGGGTCACGGTCCAAACAACACATTCTCACTGCGACCTCGTCACATATCAAAGTTTGGTCATGGACTTTCCACGCCCACATACGACGTTCAAGGTACCCTGGATGTGTTGGTTGTTGACGTTCTGGGACGCCGTGTCAAGTTCTGCCTGTTACATGCATTGTCTTCTGTCAAAATACACTTCTGACACTTCTGTCTCTTTCAAAATAAAAGCACTACGTCGGTACATCCTTCAACAACTAACACATGGTTGGGTTTAGGACAAAGGAACAGAGTTTGGCTTTAGAATCTTATGGGACACGAACACCTCTCTCTCGAGTGAAAGTCTGTGTTTGTTGGACCCATCCACCACCCCTCCCACTTGCCTGCCCCAGGCAGACTTAACTTTGTCCCGCTGCGTGTCCCCCTGACACCAAGCGCCTTAAAACTATAATGGCAATCAGCCGTGTATCACGCCGACGTTAAAGGATGCCTTTTTTCATTGGTTTTTGATGCCACAAGTCACTGCCCAAGCACAAAATTTCAACAACTTTGGAGTGAGACCGGTCTCGTCCAAAAGTGGGTCGAGGGTCTGTTCTGAATAGACCGCAAGTGACTCGAAAACATGTCAAGTTAGTAAAAAACTGGTTTTATTTTTTGAAAAAGTGAATTTCCGGCACAGAGCTTTCATCTTCAGGTGCCATCTCCTGCTGACAGACAGCCACTTCACAGAGACATTAAACTAGCTTGACGACATGGACAAATGCAAGTATGACGCTGAATATATTAAACTGTGTGGACCTTAAACTAACAACCAAGGAGAAATCTGGACCCCGTGGCTGTACCAGTTGGGAACCACTGTTTTAGTCTATTTTAAGATAAAGAGCAGAGTCTGTTTTTCTTGTTTTCTCACAGAACTGAGTAAAAAAAATCCCATCTCTGTCTTTTCCTTTCTCTGTCATGGCTCTACAGCTCTGGGACGAGGGGCTCGCTAAGTCAGCTGACTCCTGGGCTTTACGATGCGTTTGGGATCACGGTCCGACACAGGCTATGAGATATTTGGGCCAAAACCTGTCAATCACTTCAGGAAGGTAGTGCAGACTACAAAACCAGCCAAGCTCTTGGTGCACTATGGTGTTGACACTGAACTGAACACACTAAACATGTATGTATAAATGAATGATTGATTGTGCGTTGGATGTGACAGGTACCAGTCCATCACTGATCTGGTCCGGTCCTGGTACGATGAGAGGCATCACTTCTCCTACCCGAACAGATGCAGTGGATCAGTGTGCTCTCACTACACTCAGGTAGAAGATTTTCTCTTTGGACTGAGGAGGGGTCGAGATGGATTTGTTCATTTTGTGCATTCAAAGAGAGCATAGACTGAATAAACCCCCCCCCCCCTGCTAGAAATAGGGTTGAATTGAATGAGTCCAATAAACACCGACTTTCACGTCATGGTTTGAGTTGAAGGTGTGAGAAAGAATAGTATCAGTAACATTGTTAACACTGTGCTACATTACAGAAAAATACAAAACCGTACTAATGAACCTTCATTAATATAGGCCTATATTTTATCTACAAGTGCACATCACACACTGAGCGAGCCGCCTGTTAATGACGCTGTGGGCTAATGGGCATGTAGCTTCTTCCATGTCTCAGATGATACGTCATGTTTGTAGTCGACCAATGAAGATGAGTTTACATATCACCTTGGGTTCGTCCTTCACCTTCTCAAAATGATCCCACACTTTGGATTTCCTGCCCGACATGTTATTAACTAGCCCGTGGAATAACCGCAGGTACCAGCCCTGGAAATTAACCTGACTCCTGTCTGACTGCTGGGCGTGGACACTTCCTGTGTCTGTCCTTTCAAATTATATTCCCACATGGTCCAGTCAGATAGGTTTTGATTTATTTTTAAAGGTGCAGCTCTGACCTGTGACTTGCTGACTAATGACCTTTCTGGTCGACTAACATTTGGTCGACGATTAGGGGGCAGCCTTATTTTTCATACAAATGAAATTTCAGATTCAACCCTCTAAACCCCACCCTGATGGACCCCATTTTTGTACAGTCCCTTATGATGAATTGACAAATCTTTTCATGACGCCTCTGTCAGTGCATATATGACATTGGTTGAGTTATGCCTTTTTTTTAATGTGGACATTTGCATGGTTTCAGTTTATATATTAGCATCAGAATGTGTTTTATGTTTCCTCTCAGATGGTGTGGGCGAGCACCAACAGAGTGGGATGTGCTGTCAGGAAGTGCTCAAACATGTACGTGTTTGGAAACACATGGAGGGAGGCAACGCTGCTCGTCTGCAACTACTCTGTAAAGTAAGAAGAGCTTTAAGGAGGAGTTTGACTTTTTTTTTTTTTTAAGAAATACATTTTCTTGCCGAGAGTTACATGAAAATATCAAAAGACTGGAAACGAGGGATACCATATCCTGGCTCTGTTCAAAGGCAACAAAATCTGCTAATGAGATAAGCTAAACAGCTGCTGGCTGTGGCTTCATATTCAGCGTAGAGACATGAACATTTTAATGAATTTCCCATTTAACTCTTGGCAAGAGGAATGAGTGTATCTCCACAAACGTTAATGTATTCCATTAGTTCTATCTATTCTTTATCTCCTTCCTCCTAACTAGTGGTGAACTGAATACATTTACTACATTTAAGTATACTTGGGTACAGTTTTAAGGTATTTTACCTCAGTACTACTTACTTTAAAAATGATGCATTGCTGCATTAAGTCTTGTGTGAGATCATGAGACACAGTACTGTCCTGCCCACAGTGGCAACAAGGCCAAGCACTCATGGCTGTGCCTGCCTTAGGTTGTCCCGAGCTCTGCAGGGGGACTTTCCCGTCATAGGCGAACCAGTCCTCCATCACTTACCATACTTTCACCATACCACACTTGCTTTTTTCAAGTTTCATCAAATCTGAAATGTTTATTCCCTGTCAGTTACCTCCTCTATTTGAGGAGGCAAAGGCCACGCTAGTCCAATTTTTCTCACTGCTCTCCTTTTTTTAATATACAAAGGGCACATATGGACAGCGTGACCTTTTTATGGGTGATGCCCCGTAGTGATATTCCACGTAACTGGGGGCGTTTGCGTGACAGCCTTCCTCAGCACAGTTATGGTTCTGCATCCCCTTCAGTCTTTCCTTCTGCTCTCTCTCCAGTCTTTCATTCTGCTCTCTCTCCAGTCTTTCCTTCTCTCTCCTCAGCCTTTCCCTCTCCTCTACCCTCTTCACCTTCTGCTCCAGTTTGTATTTTTTGTAGACCAGCCACCTCCTTCTTTCGAGCAGGCTCCGAATTTTTATATTCAGTTGTATCTCTTTCTCTGGTGTGCAGCCAGCTGAAACTAAAAACATATAAAAAGTCTGGAGTTCAGTTGTACACCTGCATACCTACGCAGTTGTTACAGCATACATGTTGGCAAGTGAGATTAGTGGGTTAGCCGGCTTTCTTCTAGCTTAACTGAGTAGAATCAGTTTGTTCTCCATGATGATTATTTGAGTTATAGTAGGGATTCATGTGCCCACTCTAAGATTAAAACAAGGCCTGACAGGCTAATAAATGATGAGAACAGGCCTGAACAGGACAACACCAGAACGGCTCCCGGCGGGCGTATTTCTGCCTTGATGGTGCGCCACGACCGGCTCTGGGTCAGCTGGGAAAGGCTTGAGACGAAGCAGGCTCACGGCTTATGTGTTTGCCACTTTCTTTTTCATTTTAACCCACACCATGATCTTTTCCTGACCCTAACCAAGTGGTTTTTGTGCCTAAACCTAACCAGACCTGAACCACAGGGCATCATGATGATTTTGGAACAACGGGACTTCGGAACAATGGGTTTAATATGGTCGGAACAATGGGATGTCGGACCAATGGGCAGACCCCACTTATTCATAATGGAGGATATATAAAGTAATACAATTTTAAAATATAGTGGCGGGGCTTTTACTCACCACAGCTGCAGAGACTACCAGCTTCATTTAAACGGATTTATTATTCCACTGTATCTTTATATTTTTACTTTTTATCCGCTCCTGTTTGCCTTGATAAAGTTAATGCATCGCGCCATCATTTCAAACTCAACACTTCCTGTATCTGTTTCAAATTAAAGGCCCCTTATAACCTCGGCTGAGAGAATCCCTTCATTTTCTAAAAAGGCTTTTATTGTGAAACATTTGCAGGAACTTGTTGTGGAGGATTCAGTGACTTGTATGTTTGCATACGGTACTTCAAATGTAGCTCCTGCCATCTGCTGGCACTTTTTACGTTACTACAACATTTCGGCTGGCACATGAACAGACACAGTGACTGAAATAATAGTAATGATAATAAAAATAGGACAAGAATAGTCTGATGACACACACATCGCGAAAGAAGACCATGGTGTAGTCTGTCATGTCTGTCGGTCAAGTCACGGCATGATTTTATGACTTGAGTAAAGAATCTGAATACTATACCGGTTGAAGTGAAATTTTATGTGAAAGAATGTCAGTTGACTTTCTTACCTTTATGTCGGAGGCGTCTCTCCTCCTGAATGTTCATCTGGATGTCGTCGTCCACAAGGTCTCTCCTTGCATTGTGCCACCAAATGTATAGTCTTGAACACAGGCCCATACTTCTTCTCTCCTCCTGGCTCTCTCTCTCCTTCCTCTCCTCCTTCTCTTTTTCTTTTGTCTCCCTCTTGTCCGCCCCATGTGTTTGTCTCTCCTTCTTCTCTGCCTTCTGTGTCTGTGTCTCCTCCTTCCTCTGTCTTTTTTCTTCAGTTCGCTCCCTCTCAAAACTCTCTTCCAGCTCTCGTTCGTAAATACAGAAGGAGGACACCTTCTGTTTTTTTTCTCTTTCTCTCCTCATCTCATATTCTCTCGCAATTCTGTCCCACTGCTCATCTCTCATTCTCTCCATCCTCTCTCTCTCCTCCTGCTCCTGTCTTTTTCTCTCTTGCCAATCCAGGTGAAATTCGGTAACCCTCTTTATCCTCTCCGACTCCCTCTCCTCTTCTTCCCTGTTCAATCTGTCGATAATTTCCTGGATCCTTCTCCTCCTCCGTGTCCTCTCCTGCTCCTGTCTTTCTGTCTCTTCAGTCTCCTGTCTTTCTCTGTCCTTGTCATGAATAGAGGATGGTCTTTCACCACTCTGCTGTGACTCCTCAATCTTTCCCAGAGAAGGAGACCTCTCAAGTTCAGGGTTACAGGATTCAGAGGGGATGTTTTCTGTAGGTGACCATTGTCTCACTTCCCTTTTCATCCCTCCGAGTGCCTTCTGGGAGGTCGAAGGCTCGTCCTCAGAAGACAAAGGGCTCTCACCCCTTCTGTACTCCCTCTGGATCGTAGGAGGATCGAGGTCTGCAGGAGACAAAGGTCTCACAGCCTTTCCTTTGGACTTCCTCTTCTTTGAAGAAGAGTTCCTATCTCCTGGAGACTGAAGTCTTGCAAAGGGATTTCGAAAAATGATTTCGAACATTCTCCCTTTATCCAACGCCAGTTTTGTTCACTGGCGTTGGATAACTGCAGACACAAACACACACAGCAGTTATTTTAGTGATCAAAATCAGATTATTTTTTCAAGCAGAAAACTAAGCAAAGTCTTAACTGACTTTCAAACTCCACTACACTTTAAGATAACATCAGATGAAACTGTATTTAGGCAGAGGGAAAGTGTTAAACTGAATTGAAGTTAACCCAGAAATATTTATTGTGATCATTGCACTGGGCAACAAGAAAACTTAGTGAAAGTTGATTTTTAAAAGCAGGTCGACCAAAAATATCATTACAACAAACACTTACAGTAAAAAGTTTGAATACAATGCTGTTGTTTCAAATTGAAATTAAGTCGTTAAGATACACAACTGACACATTACACATCTGAAATCATTCCATTCAGTAACAAAGTATAATATAGGTGATAATAATCAGAAAAATCAAAACATCATCTCAGTGCCACAGTGACATCATTGTTTTCTACAGTTTAAGGAGAAGCTTTTTCTGTTACATGACAAGAAGCCTTTTTTGTGATCAGCAAACTCAACACAAGAACATCAAAGAGAGGAGTCATTTAATCTGTCAAAGAAACTGCATGACTTCACATCACAACTTACAGATATTTTGTTTGTAACTGAGGAAAAATGCAGTGTACTTGAAAGAAACATGCAAAAATTAAATGTACTCCTCTCCCAACACAGTACAGTTCTACTGAACATTAAAATTCAAGTTAAAAGTAGTTTTAACTCTGCTGAGAAATTTGTCTTACCTCTCCAAGAGCTTGTGCAGGAATGAGACCAGAACTGTGTCCTTGCGCGTGTTTAAACTCTGACAGTTCTACTGGTTGTTTTTTTTAAACCCAAACAGAGCTTGAATGTAACTTAACTAATATTATTAACTTATATTGTTTATTTATTGAAATACTGTACTTAGGTGCTTGTACGTAACTTAAATATTTCCATTTTATGTCACTGTTGGCAACACTATCACTCGGTTCAAACCCAGGGTGGGGGAGTAGCCCTGTGCAGAGCCTGCATGCTCTCCCTGTGCAGCGTGGGCCTTCTCCAGGAACTCCGGCTTCCTCCCACAATACATGCAGGTTAATTGGTGACTCTAAATTGCCTGTAGGTGTGAATGATTGTCTGTGTCTACGTGTTTGCCCTGCAATAGTATGGTGACCTGCCCAGGGTGTACCCTGCCCCCCACACAATATGAGCTGGGATAGCCCCCCCCCCCCCCCCCCCCCCCCCCCCCCCCCCCCCCCCCCCCCCCCCCCACCCCCCACCCCCAACCCCAACAGGATAAGCGGCTTCGGAAAATGAATGAATGAATGCCTCATAGCTAACATTATGTTCTTTTGTGTTTCAGAGGGAACTGGGTCGGAGAGGCTCCCTATAAAAGCGGAAAACCTTGCTCTGTCTGTCCGTCCAGCTATGGCGGCTCCTGCTGGAGAAACCAGTGCTCACCAAACACAAAGCACAGGACACTTAAAAGATATTAACACAACATGTGGTTTTAAATGTGTTTTAATGAGAGTAAAGAAGTCACAATACATTTAAAGTCAAGTTTTAACCCACACGAGGGCTGCAGCTGATGCAGCTGTCCAGTTATATTAATGAATGTTTCACACACAGGTGAGTTGATGTAGTTGTATGTATGTTTATTTTCATTGCTGTTGGTCACTAATATAATAGTACTGAACGCCAAAGAAATGTTTGCCCATTTGTATACTTCTTGAAGACATGATGGAGAGTTTTTGCACTGCTAGTGATTACTGTTTTTGATGCATTAACCAAAAATAAAGCACTTTTGTTGTACAGATCATATGTACTGTAACCTTCGATATGTTATTGATTCTTTTTCTAACCTGATTTAATATTTACTGTTTCTTTGTCCATTGTGGAAAAACTGTCAAATCATTCCTGCAGTGACTGCGTTCAACTCACAATTGTCTGTTTGCCTGACTGAACAGTAATTAAGTTATAAATAACGGATGATGCTGTATATCCCTATAAATAATCTGCTGTTCACCTCTGCTGTGTTTATTCACTGCTGCTGCAGGAAATTTTCTGTCCTGCATTTCACCTCATTACATCTCTACATTTAGCCCTCTGAGACTTTCTGTGCCATAAAACAGGAGACTAATGCTGCTTTTATGGTCCAGAATATGAGGGAATCAGCTGTGTCTCCCAACCAATTCATAAACACACACACACACACACACACACCACGACCACTAACAGCGAATGTGTGAGATATGATATTTTCGTCCAGCAAACAAAGTTCCTCACAAACAACAGTGTAAAGAGAAACCGAGCTCAGCACTTCAGTGATTGTAATCACCATTTATTTGGCAGCTCATTGTTCAGTAATGGAGAGTAGCTGGAATTTATTCTCCGTCTAAGAGAAAAGTTTGCTTACTCTTCATTTTTTGTACAGTTCTGGTTATTATAGAGAATTATGTCTTTTGTTTTGACCACTGTATAATATTACTAGTCGTCAAAGTGTCATCACTAGTCGATGCCTCCACAGACACTTAAAATGCACGAGTTGATTAGCTTAGCTTATCTTAGCTTATCTTAGCTTAGCTTAGCATAAAGACTGGAAACCAGAGACTCTATAGAATAATGAACGTAGCCACCATGATGTCACCCATTCATTTGTACTCCTGTTTTGAAACACTGGGTTCAGCATTTTGGCCATCGCCACTTGAATTTTTGGAGCCAGAAGTGACCATATTTGGAAGGAGCTGTGGAGGAGCGAAGAGTGGATCCGACTCATAGACTTTAGAGACGTCTCACCGATAGCCTGTCACTTAAAGTGGCCACACCCTTAATTATGCCTAACTTTAAGCCTTAATAAAATATAAACAGTTATTTAAAAAAAATCACACTCTGCCAGTACAGTTCTCATGGATATAGAGCTGTAGCGACCAAAACTGTTTTTTGTACCTGGCTGTGAACATGTTTATTTCTGCTGTAAAGTTGGACATTTTCACATGAGGATTGATTTGCTTTTGGAGCCAGCCTCAAGTGGCCATTAGAGGTACTGCAGGTTTTGGTACTTTCAGCTCTGAAAATTAAAACAGGAAACAGGTAAACAGTTAGCCCGGCTCTGTCTGACAGGATCAAAATCCACCTACCACCTCTGAAGCTCTCTAGTCAACATTATATATCTAATTCATATATGATAGTGAGGCTGCAGGCTAAGAAATAATCCGTCACATAAGCCCCTGTAAAACCACAATTTACAGATTGAACAAATGAGTAGTTATGTGTCCACTGGAGAGTTTTAAAGGTGCTGGCTGGTGGAATTTGTTACCTCTGGACAGAGCCAGGCTAGCGGTTCCTTCTGTTTCCAGTCTCTGTGCTAAGCTAAGCTAACTGACTGCTGGCAGCAGCTTCAAAAAAAAAAAGTACTTTTATGAGATCTTGCAAAACTTTTGCGCAAAAGTCAATCAGGACCGCCAAGTCACAGATTGTTTTTCGACGAAAGTGTCCTCTTGCGTTAAGTAGTCACTTCAGATGTCTCTCACTTACATGAAAACCGTGTTTACTCGCGAGCACTGATTTAATGTCTTTATATTTGAGGCCAATCTCAAAATAAAACTCTATGAACCTCTCCCACAGGTGAATGCGCTCCATTGTTGCATTTGTTTGCAGTCTCTATGGGCCAAACTGACCCAGAAGTACATTACCTAAATTAAACTTTTGCGAGATCTCGCAACTGTCTATTTTTTTCTCTTCCATGTCCCTTTAGGGGCTCCGTAGTATCCATCTTCTCATCTAACTCTCGGCAAGAAAGCAGAAAGGGCTTATTTAACAAATTGTATAATTATTCATTAAAGGAGCTGTATGAAACATCACTACTACAAATGCAGCTGTAGCCAGTATCTCACTATCACTATCCTCATTCATATTTTAAGAGGCTACAAATTATGTTCAGCCACAAAATAAACCTGGAAAGCTGCAAATCAGAACAGAAGTACAGAGTTGTTGCATAGAGATGATACACCATCTCATCTAGTTGCACTGGTGTGAACCAGCAGATGTTTATAACGTTGCAGAATAGTGCATTGCAAGTAGAAGCTTGTTGGGAATCTTTGGTCTGAACTGGGCTTAACACTGTTAGCTCTGTCAGCACTGTTCGCACTGTTAACATTAGATACTAGGCACCGGCTCAGCCACCTCCATGTTGAGAGCTGTGTGCGGGCAATCCTGACTAAGACTCAGCTGTGAATGTTGCATACAGCTCCTTTAAGGGTCTGTGAGCTCCTTTAAGGGTCTGTGAATTCATATTAAGACCATAAAACACCAGTGGTGTTATAGTATAAATAAACGTTTGTACAAATAAATCATGTTAAATATTATTATTATTTTTGTGAGTGACCAAAGGAAATATGTACACTTGCTGATATTAGTAAAGATGGAGCTGCATGCTGCAAAATTTGCCTTTATGAAGTGAAACCGTTGTTAAATTTCCATTTCAGCTGGGATACTGTGGAAATAACATTTTAAAATTAGATTTGAGTGGGCGTCTTCTTGCCATCCACGGCGACATTTCCCCCCTTAGTCAAAACAAAACTGGTGACGCCACTCATCATACACAGTTTGCTCGCTGCCACCCTCAGTACATTCTCCACTCCTCTCTGTCTTTTATGTCACTCCCCACCCTCCAGCTTTCTCTCTCCTTTTTGTATAAACTCAATTTCTCATTCAACTCACTCCCAACCTGTATCTGCAGAAACGTCTGTTTAGTGATGAGAAAGAGGGAAAAGCACATAATAACTTCATGTCTATTTGAGTTTCTATCATCATGTTGCCTTAGTTACAGCTGCTATATAGATTGGTGTCCATACGAGCCTGGTTACTGTTTAACCTCCCCACCCACATTTGCCCAGATTAGGAAAATCAATAAGATAACAGCGGCAACACCGGCCTTACCTTGCACCAACAACACCCTTCTCACACGACAGCAACCTGCGCCAAACTTCCACATTTTACACCTTATAGTGAGGGGGAAAAAGTGGATTTAAAACACATGTTTGAGAGAAGGCAGAAGACGACATGGTTAATGTAAACACACAAGTCAGTTCAAGTATGGAACTTCCATTTGGTGAGTACACACTTTTTGTGTTTTTATGAACTTGGCCTGTTGGTTTCAGTGGGGGAAAAAAGTTGAGTGTAGCAGCTGCTTGCTTTTTCTTTCTTTGTTGTTGGCTTGTGCTGCGTCTGTTTGCCTCCGGAGCTCTGCTGGATCACTCAGGGTGGAAATATCATCGCCATTTGTGTGTGCCTTTTTCACACGGCTGTAATCCAGGAGGTGTGTCAGAGATATGGAGGTTGTTAATATAGGCCATGGGAGCCGGGCCTGATGGTGATGAAGGCACAGAGGGTTTTTTTGAGATGTCAGAGCAGTTGGAGCGCATTGTGTCTGAAGGGGTTTACAGGATGATTTGAAAGGACCTGATGTTGTTGGTGCAGCTGATGCAAGATGGAGTTCTGACAAGCTGCTGTGCTGGAAGAAGTCAGACGTGTTTTTATTCTGGACCTGGGGTGCTGAAAACAGTCTCTTCGCCACTGTGAAAAGCCTGAAATATGAAACTTTGATGAAGCTTACATTTTGTTACAGCTCATGTATACCATGCTGTAAAAACACAAACAGTAAAGTCTTTAAGATCACAGAATTCCCCATCACTCACCTCTCTCTTCACACTGCTGCTATGAGGCAAGGTTAGTTTATTTATATCGCACATTTCATACACAGAGGCAACTCAAAGTGCTTCACAAAGCACAGTTTATTAAAGTAAAAGAGGCCAGAGCAGGTGATTTATAGACAACCATCCGTAACTCAAAGTACTGTTTTATAACTGGCTGGTGACTGGTGCAGATACCTGAGAACTGATGTTATGTATTCAGCTTTCTTTGTCTTTGTGAGAGCAGTCTGAGCTGAAGCTGCCTGTGTGCTTTATTAGAGAGACCAGAGTAAAGAGTGATCTAATCTACCTGAGATGAAGGTATGAATTTGTTTTTCTAGACTCTGTTTGAATATTTATGCTCAAAGCAGCGGTGAATAAAGTTATGAAAATCTATACTCAAGTAAAAGTACAATTACTCCCATGAATGACTCAAGTAAAAGTGAGACTTGAGGTGCCCAGCAGCTCAGTGGTCAGAGCAGGTGTCCCATGTACAAAGGCATTGTCCTTGCAGCCGTGGGTTCGATTTCAACATGCGGCCCTTTGCTGCATATCATCCCCCTCTCTCCCCCTTTCACATTTTACTCTGTCTTGTCTAGTAAAAGGCTAAAGCTAAAGAAAAATAATCTCTAAAAAAAGTGAAAGTAAAAGTTAAAAAGTACCTGATTCAAAAACGAAAGTGAAAAATAATGAAAGGACTTGCTGATGTAACCTTTTTTGTAATGAATCAATCACGCTGAACCTTTTAATGAAGATTAATGACGTTAAAACCCCAACTGACCACTTGCTTGATTGATTGATAAACACATGAAACATTAACGTACCGGAAGGTAACGTTAGCTAGTTAATGACATTTGAACCTACAGTATGTGTAACTTCAGCCTGTCCTCACTCCAAACTCATCAAACACCACCTGTTCGTCAGTGACTTCTGCGTCAGAAACTGACGCACAGAGGCAGATTTTGCGATGGTATGATACGCACTGGGTGCGTTAATTTTAGAGGCAGCGAGCAGCAACCCAACTTGCCCAATACAGCACTGTGTCAGTGGACACGGACGCACAGAGACACCCCCCGAGGTGGTATGATACGAAGTGGGTGGCTGCAGTTTGTAACGCTGTCAACAACTACTGTTATATAAAGAGGTACAATGTCAGTATAGGGAGGGTGGGAGGGGAGGTGTTAATTTTAAGTGAAAACATGATATTTTTCTCTAAACCACAGTTGGTACTTCTTTTTCCTCCAGGCAGCTGGAAACTTCTCGCACATTCTCCCCCACTACACTCAAGCTCA